TTACTCAGTGTTGTGTACGCTGACACAGTGTTCACTAGGATGCTCTAAACCACCATGGGTCACGCAGGTCTTGGAGAACGTACAACAATTAAGTCATTATATTGCAGATTCAAGTTATTCTTGTGATTACTTGAAAATTGATGTTTATAGAGAACAAAAAGGCACAGTACTGTCAGTGGAACAATACACATATGAACATAAGAATCTGATAGCTTGTGCTACCTGATAGCCTGTGTTATCTGATAGCTTGTGCTACCTGATAGCTTGTGCTACCTGATAGCTTGTGCTATCTGATAGCTTGTGCTACCTGATAGCTTGTGCTATCTGATAGCTTGTGCTATCTGATAGCTTGTGCTACCTGATAGCTTGTGCTATCTGATAGCTTGTGCTACCTGATAGCTTGTGCTATCTGATAGCTTGTGCTATCTGATAGCTTGTGCTATCTGATAGCTTGTGCTACCTGATAGCTTGTGCTATCTGATAGCTTGTGCTATCTGATAGCTTGTGCTACCTGATAGCTTGTGCTATCTGATAGCTTGTGCTACCTGATAGCTTGTGCTACCTGATAGCTTGTGCTACCTGATAGCTTGTGCTACCTGACAGCTTGTGCTATCTGATAGCTTGTGCTACCTGATAGCTTGTGCTACCTGATAGCTTGTGCTATCTGAGAGCTTGTGCTACCTGATAGCTTGTGCTATCTGATAGCTTGTGCTATCTGATAGCTTGTGCTACCTGATAGCTTGTGCTACCTGATAGCTTGTGCTACCTGATAGCTTGTGCTATCTGATAGCTTGTGCTACCTGATAGCTTGTGCTACCTGATAGCTTGTGCTATCTGATAGCTTGTGCTACCTGATAGCTTGTGCTATCTGATAGCTTGTGCTATCTGATAGCTTGTGCTACCTGATAGCTTGTGCTACCTGATAGCTTGTGCTACCTGATAGCTTGTGCTATCTGATAGCTTGTGCTACCTGATAGCTTGTGCTATCTGATAGCTTGTGCTACCTGATAGCTTGTGCTATCTGATAGCTTGTGCTATCTGATAGCTTGTGCTACCTGATAGCTTGTGCTATCTGATAGCTTGTGCTACCTGATAGCTTGTGCTATCTGATAGCTTGTGCTATCTGATAGCTTGTGCTACCTGATAGCTTGTGCTACCTGATAGCTTGTGCTACCTGATAGCTTGTGCTATCTGATAGCTTGTGCTACCTGATAGCTTGTGGCTACCTGATAGCTTGTGCTATCTGATAGCTTGTGCTACCTGATAGCTTGTGCTATCTGATAGCTTGTGCTATCTGATAGCTTGTGCTACCTGATAGCTTGTGCTACCTGATAGCTTGTGCTACCTGATAGCTTGTGCTATCTGATAGCTTGTGCTACCTGATAGCTTGTGCTATCTGATAGCTTGTGCTACCTGATAGCTTGTGCTATCTGATAGCTTGTGCTACCTGATAGCTTGTGCTATCTGATAGCTTGTGCTATCTGATAGCTTGTGCTACCTGATAGCTTGTGCTACCTGATAGCTTGTGCTACCTGATAGCTTGTGCTATCTGATAGCTTGTGCTACTGATAGCTTGTGCTATCTGATAGCTTGTGCTACCTGATAGCTTGTGCTATCTGATAGCTTGTGCTACCTGATAGCTTGTGCTATCTGATAGCTTGTGCTACCTGATAGCTTGTGCTACCTGATAGCTTGTGCTACCTGATAGCTTGTGCTATCTGATAGCTTGTGCTACCTGATAGCTTGTGCTATCTGATAGCTTGTGCTACCTGATAGCTTGTGCTATCTGATAGCTTGTGCTACCTGATAGCTTGTGCTACCTGATAGCTTGTGCTACCTGATAGCTTGTGCTATCTGATAGCTTGTGCTACCTGATAGCTTGTGCTACCTGATAGCTTGTGCTATCTGATAGCTTGTGCTATCTGATAGCTTGTGCTACCTGATAGCTTGTGCTACCTGATAGCTTGTGCTATCTGATAGCTTGTGCTACCTGATAGCTTGTGCTACCTGATAGCTTGTGCTACCAGGTCGGTTGCCGTGTTCCTCCCTTAAGTCAATGTGACCTGACCTGACTAGGTTGGGTGCATTGGCTTAAGCCGGTAGGAGACTTGGACCTGCCTCGCATGGGCCAGTAGGCCTTCTGCAGTGTTCCTTCGTTCTTATGTTCTTATGTTCTTATAAGAAAGAAGGAACACTGCAACAGGCCTACTGACCCATGCGGAGCAGGTCCATGTCCCCCCCCCGGATTAGACCAATGACATCCCCCCCGGATTAGCCCAATGACCCACCCAGTCTGGTCACCTCCACTCAAGGAAGGAGCACAGCATCAGACCCAGCAGCACAAGCTAGTCAGGTCCAACTCACACCCACCCACACCCACTCATGTATTTATCTAACCTATTTTTAAAACTACACAACGTTTTAGCCTCAATAACTGTACTCGGGAGTTTGTTCCACACATCCACAACTCTATTACCAAACCAGTACTTTCCTATATCCTTCCTGAATCTGAATTTTTCCAACTTGAAACCATTGCTGCGAGTCCTGTCTTGGCTGGAAATTTTCAGCACGCTATTTATATCCCCTTTATTTATTCCTGTCTTCCATTTATACACCTCGATCATATCCCCCCTAATTCTACGCCTGGCTAGAGAGTGCAGATTCAGGGTCCTCAGTCTATCCTCATAGGGAAGATTTCTGATACATGGGATCAACTTTGTCATCCTCCTTTGTACGTTTTCCAGATCATTTATATCCATTCTGTAATACGGTGACCAGAACTGAGCAGCATAATCTAAATGAGACCTAACCAAGGATATATAGAGTTGAAGAACAACCTGAGGACTTCTATTATTTATACTTCTAGATATGAAGCCAAGAATTCTGTTAGCTTTATTGCGAACACTAATGCACTGTTGTCTTGGTTTTAGATTACTGCTAACCAGAACTCCTAAATCATTTTTGCAATCAGTAGTATTAAGATCTACATTATTTAGTTTATATGTGGCATGGTTATTTAACTGTCCAACATTTAGAACTTTGCATTTGTCTATATTAAACTGCATCTGCCACTTCTCCGACCATTGCATCAGTCTATTCAAATAATCCTGGAGTGCTCTAGTGTCCTCATTAGAATGAATTGGACGGCCTATTTTGGTGTCATCAGCAAATTTGCTTATGTCGCTATTTATTCCCTCATCTATGTCGTTTATGTAAATTGTGAACAACAACGGGCCCAACACTGACCCCTGAGGAACACCGCTTGTGACGTGCCCTCATTCTGATTTCTCCCCATTTATGCAAACTCTCTCCTGTCTATTTGTCAGCCATGCCTCTACCCAGGAAAAAAATTTTCCTCCTATTCCGTGTGCCTTAAGTTTCCTTAATAGCCTCTGGTGTGGAACTCTATCGAAAGCCTTACTGAAGTCCATATACACAATATCATATTCATTACCATGATCTACCTCCTCAAACACCTTAGTGAAAAAAGTTAGTAAATTCGTAAGACAGGAACGCCCCTTTGTAAAACCGTGTTGAGATTCATTAATCAATCTGTGCCTGTCAAGATGGCTACGAATTGCTTCGGCAATTATTGATTCCATAAATTTTCCCACTATGGAGGTAAGACTTATTGGTCTGTAGTTCGAAGCCAAGGACCTATCGGTCCAGGTCAGACCGACACCTCATCGTCAGCGGGTTATTTATATATTATCCATATTTATCTTTATACATATGTGAGAGATTAAGCAGCGACATCTCACAGACAAGTGTTTACAGACAAGTGTTTATGCATCAGTGTATACACTGATCTAGCAGGTGTTGATGTGTACACAGCAACACCTGATAAATTAGACACATGTGCAACTCTTGGGTATCTTTATTGAGGAAACGTTTCCCCACACAGTGGCTTCATCAGTCCATACAAAGGAGAATCTTGAAGAACAGGAGGAGAATGAGGTAATCGGTCCCTCAACCTTGAGTCGATGTGGTCAGTCCATCAATCTTGAATAGAATACGGCATACGTGCGGAGAAGGAGCTTATAAACCGTTGGTAGGAGAGGTGCAGCAGTCATAGGCGGTGTCACATTTGTTCAATGTGGAAGTAGGTCGTGCCCAAGAATTAGGCAAGCGAAGAATTCCCAAGTATTAAGATCCCAAGAAGTTGCATTGAACAAATGTGACACCGCCTATGACTGCTGCACCTCTCCTACCAACGGTTTATAAGCTCCTTCTCCGCACGTATGCCGTATTCCATTCAAGATTGATGGACTCACCACATCGACTCAAGGTTGAGGGACTGATTACCTCATTCTCCTCCTGTTCTTCAAGATTCTCCGTTGTATGGACTGATGAAGCCACTGTGTGGCGAAATGTTTTCTCAATAAAGATACCCAAGAGTTGCACATGTGTCTAATTTATCAACATGTCGGTTCTCTGAACCATTCATCTACAAACAGCAACACCTACACCTCCCTGGGTAACACTTTGTCCCATACCTAGAGAACATTTCGGCTTGTTAAACCTACAGGATAGACCATCCTGAGAAGAGGAAACTGTTATGTAATATTAATTTAGTTTTGCTGGAAGGAAATCTGTTGTCAAACTTGTAATAAAATACTCGAGGATATCAATATTGTTTCACTGTTGTGTCTGAGGTCAGGACGACAGACTTCATTACTATGTGAGACTCATACTGTGTGATGGTGTGTGTCAGGGGAGTTGTTAATTCATGGGGAAGCGCTAGGTTCGTAGGGGTTTATGCAACTCCTGGGGGAAAACGAGAAGCAATGAGGCTCTGTTCAAGGATAGGATGGGTTCAGTTCTTGGGTTCAAGAGTCCTTCACTGGCGTCAAGGACTCGCTATAGTCTGGTCAAGATAATCATACAACTTGCTGATGCTGTAATAGAAGGGAGTGAGTGAGTGAGTGAGTTGAGTGAGTGAGTGAGTGAGCGAGTGAGTGAGTGAGTGTGTTAATAATAATTATCTTGGTGCCCCACAGCGGCCTTGATCACCACTTGCCTCTACAACTTCTGCGACTTTCCCTCTGGTGTTGTTCCAGTCACCCACGAGAACGAGGACGACCAGGCCAAGCTGAACGACTACCCCACTGCGACTTACTCTTATAGGGAAAGGAGGTACCGAAAGCCACTCTCCCCTTTCCTAACTTCTCCTTAAAACCTCAGAAAATTTTGATGATTTAAAATATAAACATTCTTACTTGCCTTACAGGACGCTACAGAATATTTTAGATTCATCTGTAACTAAAGTTTAGATATTTAGATTTAGATTTGTAATTTCCTATATCTTGTTATAGTAATTAATGAATTTTTCCCATAAGCGAGAACTTTATTGCTGTCTCGTGTATTTCTGAGACAAACGAGACGCAAATTCATTAATGTTTAGGGCTTGGTTAGGTATAAGTCGTTGGAAAAGGACAAGTTTTTTGAAATGAATGGTTCAGAAAAACCGACTGTTGATAAATTAGAAAACATGTGCAGCTCTTGGGTATCTTTATTGAGGAAACGTTTCGCCACACAGTGGCTTCATCATCCAATATAAAGGAAATTTTGAAGAACAGGGGGGAAAAATGGTTGAGGGGTTTTGGGGGACTGATTACCTCATTCTCCCCCTGTTCTTCAAGATTCTCCTTTGAGGACTGATAAACCCACGGGTTTGGCGAAACGTTTCCCCAAAAAAGATACCCAAGGTTTTGGCAATGTGTTAATTTATCGGGGACAAGTATTCCCTGACGCGGGTCTTAGTCAAATAATGACCACAGTTGGGGCTTTCGGTATCTGCCCCGAAGCCTTCCGGGTTTCTAGCCCGCTCTTTTAAAAAAAGTCTTGTTAAACCAGTTTTTTTCATGTTCAAGTTCATCACTTGCCAAGGGTATAAGGCCACATTTTTCACTTACAGACAAATTTTAAAGAAAGTTTTAAATTCCTAAGACAAAAAACCCCTGTAAACCCCCCAGTGAATAAACATTACCCCAAAATCCTTCTTAAAAAAAGTGACCTCACTTTGTGGGGTCCATTTTGACCCAACTTTGGTTGGGTCGATTCTGCAGTTCTATTTAACATGGCATCTCCAGAGACATCTAGCGTGTTTGGGGAGGTTTCTACCTGTTGTTTCTTTTTTTTTGTAAAAGTTCGGGTTTTATGAATTCCAGTGATGATGGATGTTTTTAGTATCCCATGATGGGGATGTTTTTATGTATCCCATGATGAGGGATGTTGTTATGTTTCCCAGTGTGATGGTGTTTTAGTTCCCAGGATGATGGATGTTGTTATTACCCAGTTTTGATGGATGTTTTATGTATCCCAGTGATGAGGGATGTTGTTATGTATCCCGTGATGAGGGATGTTGTTTTGTACCCAGTGTGAGGATGTTGTTATGTACCCCAGGTGTGGATGTTTTATGTATCCCGTGTTGATGGATGTTTTATGTACCCCATTGTGAGGGAGTTGTTATGTATCCCAGTGTTGATGGGGTTTTTATTACCCCAGTGATGATGGATGTTTTTATGACCCCAGTGAGAGGGGATGTTTTTATGTATCCCAGTATGAGGGTTTTGTTAGTATCCCAGTGTTGTGGATGTTTTTTTGTACCCCATGATGATGGTGTTGTTTTATCCCTTTTGATGGATGTGTTATTTTTCCCAGTGATGATGGTGTTTTTATGTACCCCAGTGTTGAGGGATGTTAGTACCCATGAGAGGGATGTTGTTATGATCCCGTGAGAGGATGTTGTTATGTATCCCAGTGATGATGGATGTTGTTATGTACCCCAGTGATGATGGATGTTGTTATGTATCCCAGTGATGAGGGTGTTGTTTGTATCCCAATGATGTGGAGTTGTTATGTACACAGTTTTTAGGAATGTTTTTTTGTACCCCAGTGATGAAAAATGTTTTTATTTTATCCCAGTGTTGAGGGATGTTGTTTTTTCCCCAGTGTTGTGATGTTGTTTATGTACCCCAGTGATGATGGATGTTGTTATGTACCCCAATGTGATGGTGTTGTTATGTACCAGGTTGTGGTAGTTTTATGTATCCCGTGAGATGGATGTTTTTTGTATCCCAGTGTTGATGGATGTTGTTATTTTCCCCAGTGATGATGGATTTTGTTATTTTCCCCAGTTTTGATGGATTTGTTATGTATCCCAGTGATGAGGGATGTTGTTTTTTCCCAATGATTGGATGTTTTTATGACCAGTTTGATGATGTTGTTATGTATCCAGTGATGATGGATGTTTTATTACCCGTGTTGTGGATGTTGTTATGTATCCAGTGATGATGGATGTTGTTATGATCCCAATGATGATGGATGTTTTTATGATCCGTTTTAAAGGGATGTTGTTATGTTTCCCGTGATGATGGATGTTGTTATGTATCCCAGGTTGTGTGTTGTTATGTATCCGTGATGATGGATGTTGTTATGTACCCAGTGATGAGGATGTTGTTAGTACCCCGTGATGAGGATGTTGTTATGTATCCAGTGTTGGGGGAGTTTTTATGTTCCCAGTGGAGGGATGTTTTATGTACCCGTGTTTGATGGATGTTGTTAGTTCCCGTGAGATGGATGTTGTTATGTATCCCAGTGTTGAGGATGTTTTTATGAAAACCCAGTGAGAGGGGATTTGTTATGTATCCAGTGGATGAGGGATGTTATGTATCCCTGTTGAGGATTTGTTAGTACCAGTGAGATGGATGTTTTATGTATCCCAGTGTTGTGGTTGTTGTTATGTATCCCATGTTGATGGTGTTTTATGTATCCCATGATGATGGTGTTGTTATGTATCCCAGTGTGATGGATGTTGTTATGTACCCCCAGTGTGATGGATTTGTTATTATCCCGTGAGATGGATTTGTTATGTATCCCAGTGATGATGGATGTTGTTTTTTACCCCAATGATGAGGATGTTTTTTGTATCACTGTGTGGATGTTTTATGAACCCCCAGTGAGGGATGTTGTTATGTATCCCGTGTTGATGGATTTGTTATTTTCCCCAGTGATGAGGATGTTTTTATTTTTCCCAATGTGGGATTTTGTTATTTCACAGGTTGATGGATGTTTTTATGTACCCCATGATGATGGATGTTTTTTATGTATCCCAGTGTTGATGGTGTTGTTATGTATCCCAGTGATGTGGATGTTTATGTACCCAGTGATGATGGATGTTTTTATGTATCCCAGGATGAGGATTTTGTTATGTACCCCAGTGTTGGGGATGTTTTTTTACCCCGGATGAGGGATTTTTTTGTTATGTTCACGTGTTGATTAATTTGTTTGTATCCCAGGATGATGGATGTTGTTTTGTACCCTGGTGGTGTTTTTATGTATCCCAGTGTTGATGGATGTTTGACCCCAGTGTTGATGGATGTTGTTATGTACCCCAGTGATATGGATGTTGTTAGTACCCCGTGTGTGGATGTTGTTATGACCCCGGGTTTGTTGGGATGTTATGTATCCCAGTGATATGGATGTCGTTATGAAACACAGTGTTATGGTGTTGTTAGTACCCCGTGTGAGGATGTTGTTATGTTCCCCAGTGTTTGGATGTTATGTATCCCTTGTTGTGATGTTTTATGTATCCCATGATATGGATTTTGTTATGTATCCAGTGTGATGGATTTGTTATGCCCCCAGTGTTGATGGTGTTGTTATGTATCCGGGGATGATGGATGTTGTTAGTATCCCAGTGTTGATGGTTTTGTTATGTATCCCAGTGATGAGGATGTTGTTATGTACCCAGTGTTGAGGATGTTGTTAGTATCCCGTGATGATGGATGTTGTTATGTACCCTGTGAGGGTTTGTACCCCATGTTGATGGATGTTGTTATGTTCCCAGTGTTAGGGTGTTGTTAGTATCCCAGTGTTGAGGATTTTGTTTATGATCCCCAGTGTTGAGGGGATGTTGTTAGTATCCAGTGATGAGGATGTTGTTATGTATCCCAGTGATGATGGATGTTGTTATAATCCCAGTGTGATGGATTTTGTTATGTATCCCATGATGAGGGATGTTGTTATGTACCCATGTTGATGGATGTTGTTATGTACCCCAGTGTTGATGGATGTTTTATGTATCCCAGTGATGATGGATGTTGTTTATGTACCCCAGTGATGATGGTGTTATGTACCCCCAGTGATGATGGATGTTTTTATGTATCCCAGTGAGATGGATTTTTATGTATCCCAGTGTTGATGGATGTTGTTATGACCCAGTTTTTGAGGGAGTTTTATTTACCCCAGTGTTGTGGATTTTGTTATGTATCCCGTGATGATGGATTTTGTTATGTATCCGTTTGATGGTGTTGTTTGTACCCCCATGATGATGGAGTTGTTAGTATCCCAAAAGATGATGGATGTTGTTATGTTTCCCATGTTGATGGATGTTGTTATGTACCCCAAGTTTTGAGGGATGTGTTATGTATCCATGAAAAGGATGTTGTTATTATCCCAGTTTGTGGATGTTGTTATGTGTCCAGTGATGATGGTGTTGTTATGTATCCCAGTGTTGGGGATGTTGTTATGTACCCCATGTGATGGATTTTGTTAGTATCCCAGTGATGATGGTGTTGTTATGTATCCCATGATGATGGATGTTGTTATGTATCCCAGTGTTGAGGGGTGTTGTTATGTACCCCAGTGTTGATGGATGTTGTTAGTATCCCAGTGTTGAGGGTTTTGTTAGTATCCCAGTGATGATGGATGTTGTTATGTTCCCAGTTTTTGATGGATGTTTTTATTTTTCCCCAGTGATGATGGATGTTGTTATGTATCCCATGTGATGAATGTTGTTATGTACCCCGTTTTGATGGTGTTGTTATGTATCCCAGGTTGATGGATTTGTTATGTATCCCAGTGATATGGATTTTGTTATGTATCCCAGGTTGAGGGAGTTGTTATGTATCCCAGTGATGATGGATTTTGTTATGTATCCAGTGTTGAGGGAGTTGTTATGTACCCCAGTGATGATGGATTTTGTTTTTTCCCATGATGATGGATTTGTTATGTATCCCAGTGTTGATGGGTTGTTATGTATCCCAGTGTTTGGATTTGTTAGTATCCCATGATGATGGGCGTTTGTATCCCAGTGTTGATGGAAGTTTTTATGTATCCCATGATGAGGATTTTTTTATTATCCCCAGTGATGAGGATGTTTTTGTACCCGGGTTTTGTGGAGTTTTAGTACCCCGTGAGGTGGATGTTTTATGTACCCATGATGATGGTTTTATTTTCCCCCAGTGATGATGGATGTTGTTATTTTCCC